GTTTTTTTGTGTTTCCTATTCGGTTATGAAACGGAAAAACCAAAGAACGAACCATACACAGATTAAACAAACTTCTCCTCATATTTTTATAAATAATTTTTTTATAAAATTAATCATCTTTATATATATATATATATATTTATATATCATATATCATATATCATATATACAGCACATTTGGGAATGTAGTGTCTTGATCAAGGACACAACGACGTTTTTTGACGAGCGTGGGGCTCGTACCCGTGTAACTCGAGGTGACATGAGTGGGGGGCGAAAGCACTAACCACTCCGCCAACGCCACAGTCACCCCCACTGTGCGGGCCGTATGAGAGTGTCTGGCGGGCCGGATGTGGCCCGCGGGCCACCAGTTGATGGACATAGACCAAGGTTACTTAACAACCCTAGTCACAAGTGTTTCCCTTTAAGCCTAAAAAGCTTGATCTTAGCCAGGAACTCTTATTGTTTTTTCTCATAAATGCTTATATTTTGCTGACAGACATCTCTCAATTTCCTGACGCCATCATATTCTATAGCACATGTAATTTGCTGAGGTGATGACATGAAGTGATCATGTGACTGGAAATTCAGATGACTGCATAGATGGGGTTGAGAGTAAAAAGCTTTAAATGGCGCATGCAGATATGGTTCTAACTTAGCTGAAACCAGCCCAATGAAACACAGGCCAAAGAGCAGAGATGGGCGGCTGTTTCTTACCGCTTTCCTGTATGGACCTCTGAAGAGCCTCCGCCAGTTCTCTGTCCCCTGTCTCATCTGGACGGTTGTCTTCACGGCTCTCTGGTCCGTATGCCAGCCGAGCGCACTCTGGCAGCTCCGCCTCAGACAGGAAGCTAGTCTCAGTGTTTGTGGTGCCTATCAGAAGCAAGTTCCTCTTCAGGTCGATCGAACACTACAAGAAAACACAAAAAATGATGCTCACGGATATAGTTCATAATATAAAAGAAAATGGAAATCCCTGAATTGTGTGATTCATTCCTATAGCATACTGCAGACTAAGCACAAATTAAAAAGGGGCTCGCACCTGATGTCTCTTCAGCATATCCAGGCCGAGCAGCATGTCCATTGGCTGGTCCTCCAAGATGGAGAAAGAACAAGGGAGGAAGATGCCCTCTATCTGGACCTGAGCTACATGAGTGCAACAACAGAACATAATATAAACTACCCCGACATTTTATTCAGAGACTTTAACATGGATGCAGTTCAAAGAAATAGATCCAGTTTGGAAACATTATTCTAACTACCCAGTCAGACCATCTCAGACACCGTTTTATATCTCTGCATACAGTTAAAAGAAAAGGTTTAGAACAATGGTTAGGTTAGCTGGTTTAAGTGTTAATTTGTCAACCTAGTTTCAACTGTTACAAAGCCATTTTATAACCACACACTGCCTAACAGTAAGCTCCTCATCAGTACTTATTTGAAGCTATAACTATGTCTGAGAGTAGATAGGAAGTTGACTCAAAGACATCCGGTAATTCTGCCAAGCCAGGCTTTATAACCATCCAGCACATTTTCAAACAGCAGGAGTTTGTATGACTGCACAAATTAAAACAACACACCTTACGTTTTTCTTTTCTTATGGAAACTACTCTGGACTCTTTAAATACACTTAAAAAAACGCACCCAAATGAACTCTTCCAATGATCTTCTGGGTGCCCACGCCCTTTGCGATCCCGGCCCAGCGACGGTCCACCAGCCTCATGATGTTACAGCGCTCAGCACATGCTTGGCTCATGATGGTCATCTGGGCTCCTAAAAACAAAACAATGGCAAAAATCGAAATCAAGGAATAAAAAAGGCCTGTACAAGGAAGAGGCGGTACAACGCAGTGTAAATCCAGTCCACCGTTCGGTGATCCGTTCACAAGCGGACAGCATGATCAGATCAGATTATTACTTTGATCAGAAAAAACACATTCTCAATCACTCTTTTATTTGAGCACAGTAAATGCAGATACTGATGTTTTTTCAAATCAGAGAACTTTATACTTTTTTTATCTGTCAGGCCACAAACCAAAACACGACATAGCAAGTTGAACCTGTTAAAGTACAACAGATAGGATCAGGATGTAATGCTTATTACCTGAGTCAACAAAAGCTTTCACAGGGTGTCCATTGGCTTTGCAGTTAATGTAGAGCATAACCACCTGCCCAAAGCTTTCTGGGGCCTCCTCCATTGCAATGGTCATGTTTTCTTCAACATTGTGCTGCCTGGAATATGCAAAAACACAAAGGTACAAGGTTTGCATTATTATAAAGACTGAAAACATGCTTCTCATGTTAATGACTAAGCTGCTTTGCCTTATGCTATCTCTAAATAGTACATTCCAATAATACAAAGGAATAACAACATTATATTGCAGTAAAACTGAGCTGCACGATGCTGGAGACAAGGGGTTATAAATCTAAATGTTCTGCACCATACCTGATGTCCTCCGCAATCTTTGCTTGGGCATCAATATCAAAAGGATCAGCAGTCAGAAGTCTGATCCTCTCTTGCTCTCTCTTGGCTCGATCCTGCTGTTGCTCCAGCAGCACTTTGGTGAAGCGCTCTGAGGAGATGGAAATATACAATGACATAACTGGTTTAGATCTGATAATGTAAGAAAAACATAAACAGAGAGTGTGGCACGTGTCATAATCTGCTCTTTTGTTTACCAATATCTCCGCTCAGCAGAGCATCGGCGAGTGGCGGGTTTCGCTCCTTAAGGAGTGAAAGCTCGTGTGGATTGGATAATAGCATCTGCTGGAGTAAGGCAGGGTCATCCATCCCCTGAGGAGAGGACGTAGAAGATTGTGAGGCGCGCTGCAGCTGCTGTTGAGGCTGCGGCTGTGAAGCCTGTTGCTGCTGCGGCCTTATGGCACCACGCTGACCAGAAGAAGATGAGGTGCCGGGGATTGTGATGGAACGAAAGTCAATATGGGGCAGACCTTAGGAGCACAAGAGATACAGAGTGAGAGGTAAGCACTTTACATGGACACAAACTGACATTAATGATTATAGTTGATGCATACATCTTTGCTGTAGTTAGTTTATGGGTGTTTCCTTCTTGTGTCCCTAGACATATAACCCTTTTTTTCCAACTTTAATGTTTTTTGGCCTGGTCAATGCTTTTTTGAAAGGGTTTTTGGTTAGTTTCCTGAAATGACGTCCATAGTTCACACAAGCCTAAGATACTTTTATGTTTGTTTAGACATCAACTATTTAAGTAAATACCCAATTGGTAAATGGCTAAAGCTTCATCGCATCATAAAAGAGGCGGTTTCAAAGAAGTAACTACATGAGACTATTAAATGTCAGCACGCTGAACAGGAGTCCACCTTTAGCTTTGAGGTGGTGGCGTGAAGTCATACAATCGTGATGTTTGTTTTTAGCCAAACGTTATAAATGTACTTCTGGCAATAGCATTCACTATTCATAAATGATCAAAATGGTGTTAAAATATGTAGATAGTCCTGCTTAACAAAACCTCTGAGTTAATTTACTATAATATTCTGAAATCTAACTGAAAAATGTTAAAATTGTCTGAGGAGCTGTTATGATGCTATCTTCATGCTATCTTCAGGGTTAGACCTACACGTCGTTCCTGCACCTCTTTAAACGTGTCTTACCTGGAAAGGCTGGCTGACTTGGTGGTGGCCTTCTGTCAACTTGCCTGAGAACCACCACATCTCCATCCTTAACACCATATGTCCCCAAGGCACGAGTTGGGTCTTTTAGGGTCTGTTCTATATATGTGACCTGTTTACGGAAAAATACAGAATTCAAATTGATATCATCGCACAAAAGATACAGGTTATTGTTTTGGTTGAATGTAATGATATTGTATTATATTATAAAATACACAACTGAATTAGCTAAGCACACCCAACACAGAAAATATATTTTATTATTTCAAATTGTACAATTGTTAAAAAAAAAAGAAAATTCAGTCATTAGGTCCATTTGCAAACTCTTTTTAGAAAGTACACTTGACTGTAAATAATATATATTTCCACTGGCTAAACATTTCAGTGGTCTGTCTGACTTCAACAACTACTTTACAAGCCAGATGTACAACGTTATTTGAATAGCTATCATTGCATCTGTTTTCAGCATTCCTCCAAAAAGAAATTCATAACAGACCAAGCTGTTTTAATTAAGAAAGGAAAGTGCATTTTGAAGCCTGTTATCTACCACAATTTAGAGTCTGCACATGTTTCAACATGTTCAAAAAAAGGAAGCAAATCATCACTTTAGAAAGTGAAATCAGAGAACATTTCACGTTTTCAGTTGAGAATGGTCTCATTATCAAAACTGTTGAAGATTACATTTCTGTGAACTGACACGACCAATCAAGTATTCAACTGATACCTAATCATTTCAGGTATCTAGCTACATTTTTAGAACATTGTATCAATATATATATATATATTAACAAGGACACCCTCCTTGGTACAGGATTCAGTCAGTGCTCTTTTTAATGTAGCTCCCCATCTTTTGTTCTTTCTTTGAATGTGTTTTAATGTGTCCCTTCTTGGTGTGATGTGTTGTGTTATAATGAACTCTTATTGTTTTCAGATTTTGCACATGCCAACTATAAACAAATGTCAGCCTTTGGCTTGGAAAAAAAGAATACAATAAAGTGTTTGGTACTCTAACATTACTGGAGCATAATGTGTCTCGATAAGAGAAAAGAAAGCAGATGGTTTTGTTAACTTCGTGTAACAGTTAGCCTCAGTCTTTCTACCAGTTGACAGCAGCTAGCTTATTTAGTTTTACTTCCACCCTCAGCTAAAGCCTTCTGTTTGTTAATAACTGCTGGAAAAACATAAAAATAACCCATGGCACGTGTCGTTGTTATGTGTGTTGTTGATAAATGACGTTTCGCAACACACCGTCCATCAAAACAGCAAACGTCCGATTCATGCTAGCCAGTCAGCTAGCTAGCTAGCTAGCTCTTAGCTACGTTAGCTCCCTGGCTACAGCTAGCCTGGCTCTTACCTGGATTTCCCCAGCTGGGATTCCTGATTCCAGTTCACAAAGTGCTATAAAGTCTCTCAGCTCCAGCTCTGGGGAAACATCGAGGCCGAAGGTGGTTTCTGGGCTATCCCTCGGCGCACAGAAAACGGTGACCAGCATCGTTTTTTTTTTAAAAGGCAGGATCACTAGACAGACCCGCTGCAACAGAATGTGAAGTTCCTTGTTTCACAGAGAAAACCCCCAATTATTATTAGTTTTTCTAACAGTTTAAACATGTGTTTCAGTAAAAAACACGTCAAATTGGGAAGTTATATTACAACGAAAGACAGTGACTGCTTTACACTTACTGGGTAAACGCCTGGTGTGACAGTTTCTCTTTTAACAACAACTAAACAACATCAAGTAGTATTGTTGCTCAGTAGTGCCGCATTTCATCTGGCTTGCTTTTCGACATGTCGCATTACAGATTTGCAGTCGTGAGTAGTTTCTTCTTCTAATCTGAACATAGCAGGCATGTTACCACCACCTATTGGATCTGTTGGGTATTACAGACAGCCAAGAACAAAGCAGAACCAAACCAACGCCTATGAACCTTTATATATACAGTCTATGCTATGAACCCACTTCAAGACAATTCAACATTGGTGGAAGAAGTATTCAGATGCTTTACTTGAATACAAGTGCCAATGTATTATTGTAAAAATACTTTAAAATATTTAAAAAGTAATCACTGTGCAGAAAATTGATCTTTATTGTTGTAGACAAAGAAAGTTCGGATTTACGTTTTGTAAAATATTTAAATAATTTGACTCCTTAATTTGACTTAAAGAGTAACTAATTTAAGTTGTTAAATAAGTGTAGTGGAGGAACATTACTATTTCCCCTTTGA